TGATAATTTGTTTTCAGTCTTGACATTGCTGTTAAACTGCTCATCCGTGTAATACTTGCAGTTATTTTCAGAGTTCTTAAAAAAGTTTTTTTTCAGGGTCAAAATCTTTGTCCGGTTCATGATAATGAATTTCAGTATCTCCAATTGTGTTCAGTTCCAGCTCCAGTCCCTCAAAATCTATTAACTTCTGTAACAAATCACCTGCCTCATTCCGTACATGGGTCATGCTTGTTGTTGTTGAATCCAACGCTCATCTGCCGTCGCAGATATCAATATACCGTCGCAGATACATTGGATACATACATGTTGTTGTTGTTATTCCTATAACAGCAACAACATATGTTGTTCATCTTGAATATTGTTAAATGGTTTGTCGAGGAGAAGTAATGAGCTTAGGTTAATCAGTAAGGAGCTGGTCAGTACAGATCTTAATAATTGGAAGTGCTTGGTTGTTGCTTTAACTTCCATCTCATAAGAAAAATACAAACATCAAATTCTCACAAAGGACAAGCTTGTACCAGGGAATGTTTGTCATTTTAACTCCAAATGTGACTTAAATGATTGAGATCAAAGCAGTTTCCAGTTACTTTCGACAAATCAATTAATGGAGGAATTGTTGCAGCTCTAAATGATACATTTTATTTAGTACCAGATTAAATTCTGAATTTATAAGGCGGCTTTAATTTTGGTGCACTTTTGTAAATAAACAATAGGTAACAGTTATACATGCTAGCCTATCTTGTAGAGCTAATCTTAAATGCCAATATGAGAAATCATGTTTCCTTTATGTAACAAGGTGAGGAGGTAGAAGTGATGAATAGCTGTGGAGTGTGTCAGACCTTCATGACAGTTCTCATCTCTGTTTAGACCATTTTGCACAATAAAACCCATTAGCCTATGTTTAAAATTTGAACATTTCTGACCTCTAGCTCTGACCCACAGACACTGAAAGTGAATGGCTGAAGGCAACACTTACTGTATAGCTTTTTGTTCACATTATTACAAATAAAATGTGATGCTGCCCTTGAAAAATTCTCGAATTACATAAAAATGTATCCCACAGTGGCATTGATGGTGGCTTCTTGCCATGTCTGTAACCAAGACCAGGCAGCGTCTGGAGGTCGGTTTGAAGTCAGATCTGAGATAAGATAAATTGTTTCCCTTGCTCCTTGACAACTGATTATAAGGGTCTTTCACCTTTTCTAAACAAACATGCTTTCTGCGTGGCTGCATTAGAAGCACAGTCTTGTGCACTATTCAGGGAGTTACCTAACAACAGCAGTGGTTTGTTTTTAGCCATAAAGTTACCACATCATGTAGAGGAGTACGCTGATGAATCCACTGACGCTGCAGATGGGTATGAGCAGCTTGAGTGGGAGTGGGGCAGAAACAAAGACCATGATGTTAATACTGTGGGTTGTGCTTTAAAGCTCTTCATTGTGTTCTGAGTAATCTTCAACTACTGCACCCTATTAGACAGTGTAATAAACTTTGATTAAAGGAAGACTAACTTTATTACAGTTTAGTGTGACTGTGACAGTTCTAATACCTATCAGTTACGGTATGTAGATGAAAAGGGTTTTTCCTCATTTTTAACTAAGTGCAACACTTTATGATAAGGAAGAATGAGATCATTTAGAAGAATATAAAGATTGCAAGCCTGTTTTTCTAATGCCTTTCTATTTTCTCTAAATACAGGGCCGATGCTCAAGAGAAAACTGCAAATATCTTCATCCACCTTCACATTTAAAAACCCAGTTGGAGATAAATGGGCGCAATAATCTCATCCAGCAAAAGACAGCAGCGGCTGTGTTCGCCCAGCAAATGCAGCTCATGATCCCTGGCCCCAATCTTCAGCCTGTGGTAAGGTCGTCATGAATCTCTTTCTTTAGTCTTTTGTGGTATATAACAGTACTTGTCTCACTTGTAGTATAATAGTGTTTCCCCCCATAGCCTACATTTTATTTCACACAGGGACTTGGCACAAATACCGGTCTTGGGTATGGTTCATACATGACACCTCTGAGTCATGGAATGAGCCTCGTTCCCTCAGACATCCTTCCCAGCACTCCACTTCTTACTCCTGGGAGCCCACCTGTCACGGTCCAGAGTTCTTCTTCTTCGTCTTCTGCTTCTTCTCCATCACAGAAGTTGCAGCGTCCAGACAAACTAGAGGTATTCATGCACCACAAGGAGTGATTTAACATAGAAAAATGATGTTGGTGATTTATCTGGCCAGTTGCTGAGAGCTCTCAGTGACTTTATAATTGCTTCCCTCAGGTTTGTCGTGAGTTTCAGCGGGGAAACTGTACAAGAGGGGAAACAGATTGCCGCTTTGCTCACCCTAGCAACAGTCCAATGATTGACACCACTGATAACACTGTCACTGTTTGCATGGACTACATCAAGAACCGCTGCTCCAGGGAGAAGTGCAAGTATTTTCACCCACCTGCGCACTTGCAGGCCAAAATCAAATCCAGTCAACAACAAGTCAGTCAGACAGCCGCGGCAGCTCAAGCTGCAGCTGCAGCTGTGGTAAGACAGAGCCTTCTCCTTCTGATCACTGAAAACTGTGGACTTGCTGGTGTGCTTTGGATCATTGTCCTGCTGCAGAACCCAAGTTCGCTTCAGCTTGAGGTCACAAACGGATGGCCGGACATTCTCCTTCAGGATATTTTGGTACACAGCAGAATTCATGGTTCCACTTATCACAGCATGTCTTCCAGGGCCTGAAGCAGCAAAACAGCCCCAGACCATCCCACTACCACCACCATATTTTACTGTTGGTATGATGTTCTTTTTCTGAAATGCGGTGTTACTTTTACGCCACACATAATGGGACACACACCTTCCAAAAAGTTCAACTTTTGTCTCGTCTGTCCACAGAGTATTATCCCAAAAGTCTTGGGGATCATCAAGATGTTTTCTGGCAAAACTGAGACGAGCCTTTATGTTCTTTTTGCTCAGCAGTGGTTTTCGTCTTGGAACTCTGCCATGCAAACCATTTTTGCTCAGTCTCTTTCTTATGGTGGAGTCATGAACACTCACCTTAACTGAGGCAAGTGAGGCCTGCAGTTCTTTGGATGTTGTTGTGGGGTCTTTTGTGACCTCTTGGATGAGTTGTCGTTGCGCTCTTGGGGTAATTTTGGTCGGCCGGCCACTCCTGGGAAGGTTCTCCACTGTTCCATGTTTTCGCCATTTGTGGATAATGGCTCTCACTGTGGTTCGCTGCAGTCCCAAAGCTTTAGAAATGGCTTTATAACCTTTTCCGGACTGATAGCGCTCCATTATTCTCTTTCTCATTTGTTTTTGAATTTCTTTGGCTCTTGGCATGATGTCTAGCTTTTGAGGATCTTTTGGTCTACTTCACTTTGTCAGGCAGGTCCTATTTAAGTGATTTCTTGATTGCGAACAGGTGTGGCAGTAATCAGGCATGGGTGTGGCTAGAGAAATTGAACTGAGGGGCGATAAACCAGAGTTAAGTTATGTTTTGACAGGGGGGGGAAACACTTATTCACACAGGGCTTTGTAGTTTTGGATTTTGTTTTCCCTTAATAATAAAAACCTTCATTTAAAAACTGCATGATGTGTTTACTTGTGTTATCGTTGACTAATATTTAAATTTGTTTGATGATCTGAAACATTACAGTGTGACAAACATGCAAAAAGATAAGAAATCAGTAAGGGGGCAAATACTTTTTCACACCACTGTATATGATGGTGTTTTTTGTCTTTGTGTTTGCCATGACAAATGCAATGTCATTTGTAATTCAAAAGTCCAACTTATTCTTAGAACTAGGCTGTTTTTTTGGCGGGGGGCCCCTGTCAGACAAAATCTACACAATCGATTTCCCCAGTCTTTATATATTTGTCTCATGGGCCCCCCCTTCATCCCTACCACACCCCCAGGGTGGCACACCTCACAGATATAAAATATCTCTTAGTCTAGATCAGTTTTAACCTATTGTATATTCACATGCCTGGTTGAGGTGTTTTAATCATAAATGGAAGATCTGTGCTTTGTGACTTTCTCATCCAATAATCAAGACCATATGCCTGTTTTCATCCTGTGTTTACAAGCACTACAGATGTAAAATCAGAACACATTATGCAGAGATCAGTTTAGATTTGATTCATCCTATGTTTAGTCCTTGTTTTAAAAGAGTGTCTATCAATTTGATAGTGACAGCAGGTCCCAGTCATGCATTTTGAGTTTTGGTACAGGGGGTGTCCCTTTTTATTTACATTTCCAGGGTTGTGCCTTTAAATAGGGCCACTGAAAGATGCATCAGACACTTGACAAGCAGAACTGGTGCTGTGCTGCAGCTAAAGCTTAAAAGTTTAAAGTTTATTTTTTTCAGTGTGTACAGTATGAACCATCTAAGCATTGTGATAACTGACTACATGGGAAAGTGCCCAAATAGTGTAGTTCACACTTCCCTTTTTCCCCTTAAGAATTTCTGCCTAATCTTTTGCCACTTGCATCTAATAATATTTCATGATTTGGTTTCAGTTATAGCATTAATTTACTTTGCTGAAGTTACACTAAACAAAAGGCCGTTTCTGGTCTCTCACTTTACCACAAATTGGAAATATGCGGTAAAAATGATTTGCATTAACTTTGCTCTAATGTGTTTCCTTACACTTCATAGACCATCACACGTTTATGGTTACATTTACATTATATTTTGTTGCATGAGTTTTTGGCTGCTCTTTTTTTAAACTCACAAAAATGTTTTGTTTCGTATAGTACAGTTCCGCCAAAGGCCTTAGTGTGACTGTGGTAAATGAAGCTCCCCATTATGTGCTTTGTGACATTGGATACATGGTTTGTTTGGTTTTTTCCCAGCTGATTTGTGATGTTGCTTTTGGCTTGCTCTCATATAACCTATCATCATTTCATTTAACAGTTAAACTTTTCAGTGCTTGCTGTGCATTGCATTGTTAGCCTCTTCCTTAAAGCTGTAAAATGATAAAGTGTGCACAACTGCACCAACGGCATCCTTGTAGTATTGTTTTGATTACAATTAGCAAACTCTGAAATATTAACCAAGTGTTATACAATACATAATGTAAAGGGTCTACAGGATTATACCTTATCATCATCAGTCTCGATTGTCAAGATATTAATTATCTGTACACGTGAGTCTTTTAAATCAGGGATTTTTAGTTAATGTGTCCTTTAATTCGTTATTTGGGTTACTGTGCATGCATATTGTGCTTTACGTGGTATACTACATTCTGATTATTTTTGTTTTGTTTCCCCCTTCTCACCTATCCACAATGCTGTCCCCCATGATGCACCTCTGCTTGCTGTTACCTGTTTGTTAATACGCTTGAATCCCATTGGCCCACTGCCATCATGTGCTCGCTGCCTGCTAATATAAGACTCAGGCGACTGCCAAAGCAATGAAGCGACCCCTCGACGCAGCTGTAGACCTGGTATTTTCACCTTTTGCTTTGCATGTAGCTATTAATTGTACTGTAGAACATTTATTTTTGTCATTGTGGCTTCTTCCAAGTCTCATCTAGTTTTTATGTGCACAATCACCATCAGTATTTTTACAAGCTTAATAAGTTGACAGATCTTTAGTAAATTTTTGTGACTACATTATTCCAATCATATCTGTATCCTACAACTGTGTTTTGATTTCTTTTTTCCATTATGTGATAACAGTTACCTTTTTTTTTTGTAGCTGTGAATACTAAATACTAAATCTGTGTAAAATGTAGCTGAACAGAGAGAATGGAAATTTGGGAGGTTTTAGTGTTTTATGTCTCCTCTTGTCATTTGTCAGGCCTTTCCTCACAGCATCCTGCAGTCCCTACCAAAGAGACAAGCTCTTGAGAAAAACAGCTGGGCCAGCTCTTTTCTCAGCCCCAGTTTTTTGCACTACCAACAGGCTCTGGCCAACACACATCTGCAGCAGCCCACTGCAGCATTTTATCCCACAGGTAATAGTTGGTTTTGATGCTCAACAGGCATTTTATACAACTTGCCATTTTCTGTTTCATTTCTATCTTGCTACTTTTTTGTGGGTTTAAAAACTACTCACACATGTCATACACACTTAATGTTGTTGCTTGATATAAGAACTTGGTAGCTGTCTACACTGCAGAAAGACAGGTCTAATACATCGGAACTTTGCTAAATGAAAACTCTAAATCCTGATTAATGAGAGTTTGAATATAGACCTTTTTCACAGCAGACATGGTCACTTGTCACAGCAGGAACGCACACTTTTTACAACATTAGTAATGGCTCTGTTCTATTCAGGTGTCTCAGTAAGCCATGAGAGTGTGTGCAGCAGTCACACCACTGGGCCTGGTAGCTTGGTGATGTAGTGACTATTCACAGGTGTAATCTATGAGCTGCTGTAGCTGGAGAGCTAACCCAAGTAGTCAGTCACACTAGTTCGCCTGTTTGCTCTCTTTTCTTATTTATGTCCCTCTGGTATTTTGTTCACCATCACACACCATTCTTTTCTGTTCCAATTATTGCAGAGGGGGAAAAAAAAAAATCACCAAACTGTTAGGCTTGCTGATGGTGATTAGTTTAGCTGAAGTTGCTAACATCTAGTGTAGAACAGTTTTTGCTGTGACAAAGGAGGTTAAATAAAAGTGAAAGATACAATACAGCTAAAAAGCTGTGATAGCTTCCTTCATTTTGGACTCATCGTCTGTCTGTCCACATGAAGCTCAAGATGACTTTCTACCGGTTAGCAGTGCAAAATTGCATGTCAGAATTAACCACAGTTTAAATCTGTGTAAAACCTTTGCATGGAATAATTTTGCTTCATCTAGCAGATCCATCCACTGCCGTTCCATTGGAATTTCATATTTTAGCCTTAAACCTAGAGCCGCTTCTTCTTTCCTTGCACTTGCAAAAACTGTAGATACTGTAGTGTGTTACTCAGCTTGACTTAATCTGCATGTTTCTGAAGCTTTGATTTTCTTAATGTCTACTTAACTAAAGATTTTATTTATGTGGAGTCAAACCAGTGTTTTATCATATTGATACAGTCAGTCGCGCAAAAATATCTTCTCTTTTTCCATCTGATTATCACACAGGTTCTGTGTTCTGTATGACTCCTGCTAACAGCATTGGTAGGTCCCTACCTTTATTTTTATAAATTACAGTGTGTTTCATAATAAATGGAGAACACAGGTGACACTTCTCTACTGTGTTTCTAAAAGATATTCTTGTTCCTGCATAGGAAAGCAAACGTTTGAATCAGGATCCACTAATCAGCAAGCCACATTAAATAATTTAATTTTTTTCTATAAACATTTTTGGTTGTGTTTCATATTTGTCAGTTGTATTTTTACAGTCACCAAGCCTTGTATATACTCTACTTGCTTGTAATGTTATTCCAAATGGTCAAAGCACATGCACAATATACGCACGAAAGCAATTTGATGTGTTTTCTTTGTCGAACTGCCACGCATCTTGGGTTAGGAAATTTGATAGTCATCCCTGAGATGTACAGTATTACATTATGAAAACTCCTTAAACAGCCCATAAAAACACGTTGATGGTGTCTGGTGGCGTTGCTGTACATGTCATCTTTTTAGGGATGTCACATCATGGACAGATTTCCTAATTTTATCTCTTATCAGCCCTCCTTTTATGTTCTCCCCCTGCTGTCTCGCTTTGCTGTGTGATCACATGCCATCTGCTGGTCTAACCCAATGATGGTTTGCTGCTGTCATTTTGTATTTGCCTGGCAAGAGAAAGAAAGACATTGCTATGGTTACCATAATGCTCCGCCTCCCTTTCCATTGCTTTTATGATTCCTTTCCTGAAAGTCCCCATGATGTACAGTGCTACGCCTGCTACTGTCTCTGCAGCAACTACTCCCGCCACAAGTGTCCCCTACGCAGCAACAGCACCAGCCAATCAGGTTTGCTCCTTTTTAAAGCTTTCTGTCATAAATCCTTGAACTCTGAATGAGTGCTTCATCTTTAAATCAGAGGAGGTGCTTTGTCAGCATAGTGTTGCCCTGCTTGTGTTGCCTGTCATAAAGCTTCATCAACCTGTAGACCTTCAGCAGATCTACTAGGCTTCATTTCACCCCTTTCCCTTATGACACACAGCACTTTTTTTTAGTGGTCTTCGTCTGCAAATGGTGTAATGTTCTTTATTGTTTGTTTTTGCACTTTGTTCAAGTCTATCATTATTCATTATGCAGTTCTTGTGTTTTCTAAATTGAGGAGGAAATACTGAAACAATAGTGACTTTAATTAGATAATATTTACAATTATTGTATTGCTGTCATCAGTGAAAATATGTCGTCATGACCAGGTTTTAAATTAGACATTAGACATCATAATAGTAAATCATTCAGGAGTGGTGATGTCAAGTTGTGCCTATTTCTGTGCCACATTCAACTATGACTTTGACTATGAAATTTGTATTATCTATATTTTGGTAATCTCAGCTGCCCAGACTAAACATTCACTGGTTTTGATGTGTAAAGTTTGTATAGAAGTCAAATAGTCCTCAACAACAATATTCTTCATTATGTTAACTCTATTTCTTTTTTTAACTCCAGTGTTTGTCTATGTGTGGTGTCACATGCACATTATATAAAACTTATTGTTTAAACTCCAACTGTCCGTTGGTGGAGCCATCTTTATGAACACCTTAGAAATGCATGTAGAGTTTACTTTAAATTGAAAAATTAAGCAGTGTATTTGTCAGACGTTTAAATAAAATGTGTATAAAATGGTAAACAAGAATATATTATTTTGAAGTAATGAGGCCGCCAAAAAGTATGGAAAAGTTGTTTGAAATTAATGAAGCTTAAGGGGTAAATTGAAACCAGCAAGTCATTCATTTCATTTAATCTTGTCATTTTTACATCTATTGTGACAGTAAACCTTGATTAGCATGCGATGCACTTTCTCATAAAACAAAAACCCATTTGGCCCAAGTGTATGTTTATTGTGTGAAGTTACTAAGTGCCTGTCGTTTGCCCCCCTGAAACAGATCATCCTCAAGTAACCACCAAACACAGAAGTCGATGCCCTGTTCCTGCTGTCAAAGACCCCAAACAACCACTCTGTAAATACTCTGTCCACACCACACACAACATACAACAAGCTGCATGCTGATAATGTCACTGATGGAGAAGTTGTAGATATCACCTTGATCTCTGATAACAAATTATATAACTCTATTAAACTTGGATTATAGTGTTGTTTAAAAAATGTCACATAAGATTTTGTATGTACACACCTTTGCTCCTGGTCAGAGCTACATTTAGCCTCTTAATGAGCTGAAAAGCAGTCTTCAATTCATGAACTTTGGTGAACATATTCAATGAGAAAACACATGAAAATCAAACAGAAAATAGGTAGTGACACCTTGATATGAACTGATAGGAGAACAAATAGAAATGTTCACTGTCACTTGTAAGTGATGTAATTATTACAAGTGGAGGAGATGAGCACGACACATCTAATCTGAAATCGGCTTTCAGTGTGTAGACAATATATGTTGATGTCAGGTGTAAAGGGGTCTATTGGTGATTGTTTTATTGATTTGGATCATTCTTGGATGTCTTATATTATATAAACAATGTTTTTTCACATTGATTGTTTATCTAGTGTCAGATTTAATAATTTGAAACTAAGTAGTAGACAGCACTTATTTTAACTTTATACTCTGCATTGTAAACCTGTAATTTGAGAGTAGGCTCCTCCTTTAAAGTACTCTGAGGGTAGTTGATCTGTATTGTTTACAGTAATCCCCAGAGAACAGGATCAGTGCTCCACCTCCTGGTGTGCCTTTGCATTGCATATAAAACCAGTCTAAAGGATCTTTATGAAACTGGCCCCTGGTTCAGCTTGAAGATATAGCAAAAGTGTTTTTTAAGAAGAGCCTTCACAACATTGCAGTTAACCCAGTAAATTGTGTAGAAATACTGCTCATATTCAAACTAAAGTTCTTGTGATCCTTTAAGGGTTGAGTTTAGTAGTGTGTAAACTGTACAGTCAGTTGTCAGTACTGTATTTTTGAATGTTACAAGTGCCTAAAGAATTGTGCACGCAATAAGCATATTTAAAAGGCTGTGTCGCTCAATTAAATCTACTCTATTTAAGCCACATTTAGAAAGAAATGTACTTGTTTTGCAGTGTCATGCCAGTGCATTTTGTGTATGCCTGTTTAGATGCAGTCTTACAGTTAATTTTAGTTATGTTTAGGGTTCTATGAATGAAAAAAATAATATCCAGGTTATTTTTTATTTTATTTTACTTTCAAGATGATAAAGTAATTTACAGCAAAGTAGAATACTTTGTATAAAGTAGAATTTAAGTAGAAATTTTGAAGAACTTCAGTTGTGTATGATTGACACAACAATATGCAGTTACTTGTCTTTGTAATGTGCAGCAGAATGAGCATTGTGTCTGGTTAAGTAAAATAGCTGACATTTAAATTAGTTTCCATCATATACATAATATTCTCTTGAAAAACTTCATATACGTTGTACAGTATATTCCCCCTAGTGATATTTTACACGCCATTGGGTGGAATATATGGAGTACATTTGCATATTTTACTAGTTTATCTTTAAAAACATTTTACTATTTAATGATGAATGTAACTTATGAAATGGACCTTAGCTCTGCTGGAGGTTTCTTAAAGGGCCTTGATTTGTTGTACCATCCCATGAAAAGTCATTTATGTCAAGGGATCAAATGTTGGAGCCAAGAGGAACATTTTCATTCATGTCATTGCCTTGTCACCTGTAAAGGACTACAAACCTCTGTATGAGCTAGGCCATAGAATTGTTTTTATGTACAGAGGTGCAAGTAATGTTCATAATAGTGTAGTTTGTCATTTTATTATTTTAATTTGCTGCTGAGGCAGCCTGATGTTAGTGTGATTTTAAAAACTGTATATTTGTAAGTGATTTTGTTGTTCCTCCTCAAAATAACAGGTTAGATTGTACTGCCAGATATTTGACTATTATGTTCTGGTGAAACACTAAGTGATTCCGTGCATAAAAATTTTAGTTTTTAAGTCTGACTTTTGCATTTTACATGGTTTCCACTGCATGCTAGCATCTTGCAACAAAAATATAATCTCTTGCAGAGTGGTCTAAATTTTCAGAAGTCAGAAGGTTGATGGTTTGCTGTTTAAACTTAATTTTTTTTTATGTTTGCTTTCAGTGTAGGTTATTATTAGATAGGATAATTTTCCCTAATTTATTTTGCCTGTAAGTAAAAGGCAGTTTTCTGAATGTTTGTTTCCCCGTTTTGGTAAAAAGCTTGAATGTCAAGCATATGCCTGCACATGGAGGTCGAGATTTGGATCACCCAAGTCAAAAAGATGTGGACAGTAAGAATGTTTTGTCAGACTGACTGATGGCAGCATTTCTCCTAAGCACTTTCTCAGCAGTCACGTGACTGAGAAGGCTTTTTGTGAACTTATCCTTATGCCTTATCTTTGATCTGTTCCTAAGTTTGCATTTGTTCAGAAATTAGAAATTCCTTAATAAAATTAATTCAGTTATGACTGCTGCATGACTGTTTTGTTTAAGGTCAAAATTATGTGAAGAGGACCGACTAGCTGCCATTATGAACGGTAAACTATATCACACCTTGAAGTATGCCAGTTGTTTCCATCCTGGCCTAAATTTAAACTGTTGGCAAATTTTTAGTCTGTAAATTATAGGTGAAAATAATTTGTTTTGTGCATAATGTAGATGGTTTTGTTTCTGTAAATTCAAATTTGTGTAAAATCTAATACTGCAAATAAATAAATGTAATTTAAATGCAACACTGTGAGTTTTGATTGTGAGCTGTACATCTATTTTGCATCAGAACCAAGGATATGCATGTTTTCTGAATTCTTTTGCAAAAAGTAGAGGTTTGCCTCAAAAACACAACTCACAAATGAAAAAGAAATCAATCAATTCAGGTGGATAAACAGTTTAAAGTTTAACTTCATTAACTACTACTAGAGAAAGTCGGATTGGTCAAATAAGACAGATCATGTTGCTGGTTTTAAAACGGCTTCATAATTTTTATACAATTTATCAGCTTTTATTCAGCGATCTCAAATTTGGAAAGGAGCAACAAAGTGCAGCGTTACCATAGCAACAGCATCCGGTGCATTTTCCTCTCGTTAGAGTTACGTCCTCTACTTGCCTCTGTGATTGGATGAGCTCTCCTTAGATGTCACTGAGGCAACCGAATGATGGGAATTTTAACACATGAACGGAAATGTAACCGCTGAATTTCACTGGCTCCCTCCGTGCGGCTCCCATTCAGACACAAGTGATGTTTACAGAAAGCACAGGTAGCAATTGGACTGTTCGTACGCCCGTTTCAAGAGGGATGGGCCACTTTTTTTTTTCTTTTCTTTTTTTGCCCCGGTACGGGAGCCGATTGGGGACCGGCTAGTTACGCAGCGACCGGTGAGGGGAGCCGATTGGGGACCGGCTAGTTACGCAGCGACCGTGGGTCTCCACCCGAGATTATGGCGGATGGGGCTGCACTGGAGAGCGGGGGGGAAACGGAGTCATGCCAGCGATGGTGAAGAGGAAGCAAAGAAGCACAAGTTTCTTTAATGCAATGTCGACACGATTTTAGTTGGTGCTGTTTTTGTGAGGCGGCCTTCGGCTTCAAATACTGCGCCCGCAGTTCGCTCTAGGGGCAAATCCATCGGTTTCCCAATGTCCTGATGGATCAAGATTGTTTTTTTTTTCTGATGCACAGAGAGGGTTGAGCTAAGCAGATGAAAGCCCGCACGGTCCACATCATCGGACGATATGTTTTGTTAGTCCTGTGCACATTTTGGACAGTTACAGTCATCGGATGCTCGTCTAGCTGTCCGTGTTTGGCCTGCACGGGGGAATTTCTACAATGAAATCCAGCTTGGCGGACCGAGTCTTTGTGCTCTGCCATAGTTGAGCAGCGGCGAGCAAGACTGTATTATTGACAGCCCGTTCAAAATGGGACACGAATGGTGAATGTGATTCGTGCGGGAACATTTCTGAGTTCATTTCAATGACGCGCGGAGATTGATACCGTACGCCTTGAGTTAATCCACGATGCGCGAGTATAAAGTGGTGGTCCTGGGCAGCGGTGGGGTCGGGAAATCCGCCCTCACTGTGCAGTTTGTTACCGGGACGTTCATTGAGAAGTACGACCCCACCATAGAGGATTTTTACCGCAAGGAGATCGAGGTAGACTCCTCGCCGTCGGTGCTGGAGATCCTTGACACCGCTGGTACCGAGCAGTTCGCCTCCATGCGGGACCTTTACATCAAAAACGGTCAAGGATTCATACTGGTCTACAGTCTTGTCAACCAGCAAAGCTTCCAGGACATAAAGCCGATGAGGGATCAGATCATAAGAGTGAAAAGGTTGGTGAAATGATGCGCAAGAAGACACTAATGTCCACATAGTTTAGATGCTGAGGATTTTCTTTCACACATATTATGTTGGCATGACAGGCCCTGTAGTTTCAGGATGGGCCTAGGCCTGGTCTGAGGTCTGTGCTTGAATGGAGATGCTGTACATCTTCAGGGAAGACTATAGAACAAACACTACGTGCCTGTTCTATTTTGGTGACCCAAGTCTTACCCACAGTGCTTGTAGTTAGGCAAATGCCCTTGCACTGCAGTCCCAGCATCTCTAAAAGGAAGCATTAGTGATCTCATGAGTAGCCTCTTGTTTCCAGTCTTTCTGTAACTTTTTGATGTTTCAGTCAGTTGTTAGCAGGACAGCAGTGCCGAGCCATCAGCTGACTGATGCTGGTGATGTGCCGAGCTTCCGTTTTACAGCCCCAAGTGTCCGTTGTGCCGGCTGCTGCAACCTCTGTGAAACACCCAGCTGGGGGATACCCAGGATTCAGCGCAACAGAAGCTCTGCAGAGATTTTCAAGGAAGCACAGCCTAGAAAAAAATTGTGTAGGGGAAAGCACCCTGGTGTGAGCATGGCTTCTGTTTTTAATTAACAAGCTCTTTAGGAAGAGCAGCAGAATTCAGATTGTCTCATGTGTGAGTGTTGTAACATAGAAGATCCAGATATGAGGTCACCAGAGTGGACTGCTGATTGATACCATGGAAGAGGTTAGCTGAAGCTGTGTGGTGGTGCAGTCAAGTTATCAGGGTTTCTTAGCTCCAAGTCAGTGTACTGTATGTTCACCTGGTGACATGGCATGAGGTTATAAAACCAGAAATATACCATATCATAGATGCCGCTGGTTCAATAATCACGGGTGATGGCCCCCGAGTCACTGGATCAACTCCTGCGTTACGGTGTGCAGGCAGCGTGCACTGAGCTGTGACTGTGAGGGTTCATCAGTCATGGCAGGTGTCAGTAGATGCGTACAGTCAATGTAAAGAGTCCAATAGGCTCCAGAGACACAAAGCTGTCCAATGAAGAAGCATATTAAAATGAGCTTACAGCTACTGTTTACTGATGGAGTGAATTACTTTAGCTAATGCTCAGCATGAAGACAGTGCAGACCTATGTTTCACTCTTTACTGTGGCACAACTGCCTATTTCTGTTACCTTCCGCCAAATAAAAGTTAAACTTATTCATCACCCAAATGTTTTTTTGTTGTTGTTGTTGTTATTAGTTTTCATCATGCATCTTGTAAACAGTCCTATAAATCATCGGCTCCAGATGAAAGAATGAGGTCAACATATTTCCCCCATATGAGTTGAGAATAGGGAGAAGTATTTTCAGTCCGCCATGTGTCTGTGTCTTTGTTAATATGTGTGTGTTTATACCGTACGTGCGCATGTTTGCTCAGACAGCAGATGCAGCCAGACTGCTATGTGATTTCACACTTTAAAAACTCTGTCTGGTGCTGTTCCCTAATGCCACAGCAGAATTTATTTTTTGTAACACAACTATCATATTACATGTGCTACACATCCAACACAGTTCATTTCAGAGCCCTGTGCTTCATGTGTTGGAAACAGTTGAGGTTTTTTTTTAAATTTCCAGTCTTTAATTAAGCAGTGACCAACATTCTGTGTTATTCCCTTTAACTGACTTTTTCAGTGGAAGTGTGCGTATTTGTTTTGATCATTCAAATCATTTCTCTTCATTTGTACAGTAAATAGTTTTTAAAAAGAGTTGTCAAATAACTTGTAAGTGCATCTTCTTCCCTTTATCATTAACAAAGTTTATGAACCAAAACACATATTTACATATAAAAACTTGAACAATAACCCAACACCTTTGTCATGTTTTTATTTCCAGCCAAACGTAGAAAACTTTGAATTAAATAGTGCAAGGTCTTAATTTTAGGTTTCCCTTGTTGTGCCAGTTCTCAGCAACTGAAATGAGGACTCTACAGATTAAGTGGGGAAAAAATAATATATGTACAGACTCCAGTATGTTGGGTTTTAAATGGAAAAAGTGACACTATTATTTCCTCACTGAAAATACACTGGCACACTATTGCCATTTTAAAACATAATGCTAAAATGCAACAAGTTCAGGCATGTTCTCTGTGGTTGGTTGAAAGGCATTATGGGAAATGTAGGAGATTGCTAAATATAGAGAAGACAGATTGAGATATCAGAAAGGCACAGTTGACCCCAAGGTATTCACCAGAGATGAGCATTGATGATAACTATGGTACAAGGGTGCAGTTGTTAAACAACCAGAACTCGGACGACCGCTCTGTGAAGTGGGATTTTTGTTGTGTAAAAACTCAGCAGTCAGATTGTTCCTGTACACTGCCTTACATTGCTTTCACTTCTTGTCTGTTTATCCCGTCTCACTTCCAGAACATTAGTGACCTGTCGCAACCGTATCAGGTCAGAGGTGCCGCCATGTGGTGCTCTCACTCTGAACCCTGTCAGTATCTATCAGTGCCTGCTGTTAGTGGCACAGACGGGTTTCAGCACCAAGGCTCTGGGTGCACGTGATTACACCCTGGCCTGCTTGTGTCCGCTGGGGCCCTCATCACTCTTTCTTCAGTTGCACTTAATTAGACACCGGGGATGTGTTTGGCAGCTTAACAGAGCATTTAAACACGAGGACCGCGGTTGAAGAAACGGAACCACAGTAAACCTTGCTGTGGGTATTGCTGCCCTGCTCTGGTGCTGGTGTTGTTGATACCTTTAGCCTGCATATTTCCAGTTCAAGCTGCATGTGTACTTGTGTATGCATTTCAACATTGTGCTAAAACAACACTGTACACAAACTGAAGTAATCATGCCAAGGCTTGTTCATGTGCCAGCTGGTTGAAAGGATAAAGATCAGTAAATGGAAGAGCAGCAGTCACCCAGTTAGATCCTCTGTCATCTGTGTCTTTGCCTGTTGAAAAAACTGGGCAAAAGAACTAAGCTAAAGGTTAGTGGTGATTACTTAACAACTGACTTGGCTTTTGAAATGATGTGTTAAAGACTGTTGGTGGATTGTAGTGTAGCCAAGCCTCTGAAAATGCTCAAATATAATTAGTGGGAGAAACACGTGCTAACTCACTCCACCAACCAGGTAACATTTTTAGCCATTCTATTACTCTAGTTGGCTATCAGCTAGTTGACCGTCTGACCAGATTTTGTGTGGATGAATCCCTAGTTGACCGTCTGACCAGATTTTGTGCGGATGAATCCTAATGATGTTGCTGATCCTGGGAGGTTGACATTTGTGGATTTGAGTGCAGTGTCTCGGTAACTACTGTGTTGGATGATTTGGTACAAACATCTCATCCTCAACCTGAATACTAATAATTTTGATGTTCTTAAACTTCATTTGGTGCCACTCCCATCAGCCTCAGTTGTACTTTGTGTTGACTGCTAATTAGCAAACATTAACATGGTAAACTCCTAAATTAAGTGAACATTATACCTATTAAGTATTAGCTTATTAATATAGTAAAAGCTGACATGCTAGCGTTTGCATTAAAGCTACAGTATGTGACTTTTTAGTGTATTTTAGCCTATTTGTTGTTTGTCTTGGTGGTGGTGTTCAACAAATTCCCTAAAGATTCAAATCAGCTAGGTAATAGAGTCAGCAGGTTTATCATCCTAATCCAACTATATGCAAATTTAAAATGATGATGAAACAGTAAAAACACACTGAATCATTGTACCAAATGAGATCTAATAACATTTCTAAAGCTACGTGAGTTAGGGGTTTTTTTATTTCTAACATCAGGCTGGTAAGTCTAGTGTTGATACTGGAACAATATCCTCAGTGTAAAATATCCTTTTCAGACTTCAGTGGGAAATATAGAATGTGTTATGAAAGAATCTATTTACTATACAACGTTTATTCCTGTCCTCTTACGCCTGCCTTACAGAATGGCAACACATTTCTAATGCAGTGGCACTTTGAATTTCATATTTTCAGTCTTTGTACAATCGAGGAGGAATTTGGTACCGATGGTATAATTATCCCCAAGAAGCAAGTATTGTGCCATATTCTTGTGATGCACCAAATCCAAGGATGACTGTACAGCCTGACAAGTTCAGTACACATTTATCTTGTCCCTTTTGACATTTCTTGACCAGTGTTTCTAATGTATCTGTGAACAGCATCAGATTTCAAAGGCAATGGGAAGCAGAGAATTAGTTTCTGCAACATTTTTTAGAATCCATAAAGAAGTAGTATTCCTGATATTGCCTTTTTTTATCCATCATTCTTTTGAAAAGCACCAAATCTTCATTTCTAGATTCTCAAGAAATCTGTTCTTGATTAAATTGTACTTTTCCTGATTTTGTGCCAAAAGAAGGGAGCTTATTTCTGCTGTCTGACTCGGCTGATTTCTCTTCACTGTCTAAACTGAAGACCCTCCTCCAAAGGGGAGGCGACCCAGTGCACAGCCTGTTTTCTGCCTCATCCTAACGGTGCTGGTCAGAGTCAAACCCGGAGCCTCCTGGGGGCGGCCAGTTCCACTATCCATCAGTAAAGCCTGTGTGAGTTGATGCATCATGCATTATAGATAAGGTGTGTCTGGGTGAGGTCGAATGGGTGTTTGCAGCCAGGGTGCTCCAGCTTGGGCCCCTTCAGGCTCCCAGGCTGAAGCGTAAAGCGTGACATGTTGTTTGTGTCACAACACAGACACAGGCAGACTCAGTTATTTGTCTTATGAGGCTTGTGTCTAAATAAACACCTCTGTATGTGTCCTGTGTTACAGACATGCCTTGCTTCCTTTGCCCTTTGCATCAGCCACTGCTGGGTCCAGACACAGCATGGCTGAAGCCCTGGGAGCCTCTGTAGCAGTCACAGAGTCTCACACCTCCTGGGACTGCCGGTTTCCTCTGCTATTATGACTATATATAGTTCTCCTTTGGTAACAGATGTCTGTGTACTGTGCTCTTGTTATGATGAGGCCTAAATGAGCTGTATAACTTGCATATGGCTGACCAAGTCTAATCTTCCATTATGGTAAAGAAAAAAAAAACATGCAGCACACTTGGGTGTTTGATATGACTTTATTGGACTGTGTTTTGGAATTCCTCCTGCTGTTTGGGATATCTGTGATGATCTCATTTGATTTCTAAGGTTTGACATGCAGGCAGCTATGACAAGATTCCCTGTCATACATGTCATCAGTGGATTAGAGCCAGTCCCAGCTGACACTGAGCGAGAGGCAGGCTACACCTTGGACATTTTACCATAATAATAATCATCTTTTAACTTTAAAATCTTGAATCTATACAAAGAGCTCAGCTACTAGCCATCTTAAACAGTTTTCCTGGTATGAAATAGCCTGTGTTAGTAGATAATATATGGTTGCAGCCCTCATTGGGAGATTTAAAGCAGGGGATTTGAGTTAAAAAAAAAACAGACTGGGACATACACAGAGACCAAAATGGCTCCATTTCTCCCACTAAAGGCTGAACCTCCTGTGGTTTCTCCAAATGGATATAGCTATAAAAGTCCAAATTCTGCCTTTTGGCCTGCTCGTTTTTGTCTTTCAGCGAAGGTAGAAAGGGAGCATACCACTAACCACCAACTAGATGTGGTCCAGAATAGTTCTCAAGAAAATCATGGTCTTGTTGTTTTTATTGACACCAGGAATCCAGTGAATGAGACAGTCGGTGTTAAAGCTGTGTAGTTTCTCATTCAGCCGGCTAAACGCTGAAATCATCTCTTAAATGCGGTTACTTCTCTCAGCTGGTGAGTCCTGGGAACGGAACAGGACTGTTGAGATTAACATTCACTTGGACTCATGTCTGATCAAAGTCTGCTCCCTGTTTTCTGCAGATTTCTAAGAATTGAAGCTGAAACCTGCAGTCTCTGTATACCTGTTACCATAGCAGTCAGAATGATTTTTTTTTCATCTCTAAATAATTTAGAGCCATCTATATTTCATAGAGCGAGGGCAGCATTTGAATATCCTAATGATGTTCATGGGTGTTCGGGTGCATGACTCTGGTTAGATGTGACGATGCTGCTCAGTGTCATGGATATTTAAATTTGGTACAAACAGTTCGACAGATGGAATCTGCTCCCTTGCTGGACGCACATTCAGACTAGGATGAAAGAAATAACCTGTTTTATGATCTGCTATCTCCCTTGATGTTTTTGATCTTTGTTTTCTCTTCTGATGTGTGCATTTTGCCTCAGAGACCCGCCGCGTGTTCCTGTATTGAAACTGATATAGTTATTTTATTGGTGAAACGGTATCATTGCTGTTCCTTCTGATAATCACAGTATACTGCAATAGCCTGTTTTATTTAAATGACCATCTCCCCCGACCCAGTCCAGTTCCACACTGACTCCAGATGTAGCGCTTCAGCAACATGGCAGGGAGTCCACAGCTCAGAGGATTATGGCCACTTCCTACACTTCAGGGGTCCAAGCTGTACTATTCATGTCTTGTTCGCCACCGTGTCCGGATTTAGAATTGCTAGGGTGGGTGGCATGGAGGTTCAGCATTGAGCCCTTTACAGCAAAAAGGGGCTGCCCCAGTTCTTTATGTGAGAAGCTTCACCCCACAGTCAGCAAAAAAAAAAAAAAACCTGAACTGTTTCAATCCAGTCTCACAGCAAAATGTATAATAGCTACAGTATGTTGGTTCACACTGCAAAACACACACAAACACACACGCACTAACGCCTCCAAAAGTGTGACATCGCAGTGTTTCCTGGGTCGAAAATTGTGACATGGCAACATCTTTCTGGCAGTGAAAATGAATGAAAATGGTTCAGTTTAGGCACAGAAACTACCTGGGTATGGTTCGGGAAAGACCCTGGGTTCGGATTAAAAATACACTGTGTGGTTGTTGTTGTTGTTGTTGTTGTTGTTGTTTTTTAACAGATTTTCACAGAAAAAAAACATACCTGGATTCTGTTAATGAAACTGTTCTGTTTAACTTGATTTTCAGCCAGATGCTACAATGTCGTAACACCTTTGAAATGATTGCTTCCTGCTGCTGCTGCTGCAAAAAAGAAGCAGCGCTAACTGCATTTTAATATAAAGTATGCTTGAGATGGAAATGCCTTCTGTAATGGAAAGTGGAAAGAGAGATAAGAAAAGGACAGTTTTCATCCAGATGTTTGTATTATTGAATTTTGTTGCCTCGGCAGCACGGCTCTAGGAAAAGCAATTGTGCACATTCATTCAGTAATTCTCATTTCATTCATATGTCAGTGTTTGCTCTGTTATATTGCAACAGAGAGATATGAGATGACAGTTTACTTGCAATGAAATGTGCTGCATAAACTTGAGAGAGAGATGCGGAGATGACAGGATGGTCACTTCAGTTTACTTGCAAATCAATGTGCTGTATAAATAAAATTCCTTTACTACTCGCTAAAATTGACTATGCATGTCTGTCAAAACTATTTATTCAGCTACACACTAACAGAATTTGGCCGTAAGAGAGAGGGAAAGGAAATGTGTGGATTGAAACTTTAACGAAACTATCTTAAAAACGCACATTAGGGCCAGAAAAATGACTAAAACTTTGATTTTCATGTTAATTTATATTAGTGTGAAAATGGTTATAGAAATGCATTTAATAAAAATGACATTTGGACTAGATTCCACATGTCCTGGTTCACATCATTAGTTCTGGAATACTGTAAAACTGGCATCAGCTTTAATGGCCAAATATGTTAAACACAGAAGGACCCAGTCTGGTTGATTCTGTACATTTTTCTCAGAGCTGCCTGCCTCCCCTGAACCGGAGAAGCAAGTCAAATGAATAAGTGAGGCTAGGTTGTCCTTTGTTGCCATTGAAAGAAAGAGGGTCGAATGGCTTATGTTTCAGTGGGTCATATTTCAGTTGGGTGCTATACAAAGTGAATGGAAGAGAAATAAATAGCTGCATTAGTAAAGGACTGTCACATGCAGCATGTAAAGCTTAGATTCAGCAGTACAATGAAACCATTTGAAGCAGGGGCTGATACTACGTTCTGAAATACTAATTTAACGAGAATCACTTTTAACACACACAAGGAATTTGTCTCCGGTACAGAACTGAGGCAGCCATCTACGGCACAAACTCACACACACTCTGATGGTACCACTGTCCTTGCGAGGGCACCAGGAGCAATTTGGGGTTCAGTGTCTTGCCCAAGGACACGTCAGCATGTGGACTGGGGAGAACGGGAATCGAGCTGCCAACTTTGCGGTTAGGGGACGACCTCTCTACCTCCTGAGCCACAGCTCTCCAACTGTTGCCTTTTGAACTAAGTTCTGGGGAAATGTGAAGACAAAAACTACTGATTGCTTCCAGCATCACTTTTTGCCAAGTGTATCTTACTCCTGCATCTGTTTCTGACAAGGTGGTGTGTGTCTGTCCTCAGATATGAGAAAGTCCCTGTGATCCTGGTGGGGAACAAGGTGGACCTGGAAAGCGAGCGGGAGGTATCATCCAGTGAAGGTCAGGCCCTGGCTGAGGAGTGGGGCTGTCCGTTCATGGAGACCTCAGCAAAGAGCAAAACCATGGTAGACGAACTGTTCGCTGAGATCGTTCGGCAGATGGACTACGCCGCCCAGCCAGACAAGGACGACCCCTGCTGCTCCTCTTGCAATATACAATAGCCCCGGGGGTCTCCAGGAGCAGGCCAGGCAAGAAGTCTCCACTTCGACTTGCTGCAGAGAATTATACAGTTAGACCCACACAAAGGCCAATGAAAGGGAAAATAAATTTGTGGTTGAACGCAATAGATTTTAACTCTATGAAGCATAAAATCTGCAGTGACATGATTATTATTTAGCAACATGTGAGTAATGAATACCTTTTAAATGAAGAATGCTAGGAATTTGCCGCAAGAGAAATTGACAGAAAGGAACATGCCTTCACCTTATGCCATTCTCTTTTGTTGTTTGCTTTTATCCTTTGAGTTGTGACAAAAAAAATCATCAACAAAAAATCACAGATTAGGATCTTATCTCCTTAGGTTGTTGAAAATGTTTCGTTTGTTTCCCAGAAGCACACAAGATGCTTTTTTTTTAACCACAACCCTGTTGCAGGTGGCTTCTGTGCACAAACCCAACAATAACTTCTACATTCTAGTTGTTGCAAACATTGACAAGTATTTGGTTTACAGTATGTACAGGTTTTTCTCCCAGCTCAGTTTGTGTAGTGGTCGGTGGGAGGTTTTTCTACTCATTACAGGGCTGAACCAAAGAGGTGACCTGAAAGCACCTCCATTTTCTTTTTTTTTTTCAGTTGTTTAAAAAAAAAAGGAATGGAGAGAAAATTGCGGTTAAGTCAGTGTCTTTCTTGAAACATTGGTGCAGTCATCTCTTTCCTATTTTCTCACTTTGAGATATAATAGTCAACATAGCAGAGTCTTTCACATATTGTGCGATGTTTTGCTTTCCTCTTTAGGAAGACTGACAACAGATTCCTGAGTAGTACTATAACCAACTGGAGTTCATCTCCTCAGTGTTTGAATAGCTCTACAGATAAACTCCTGTCAGGAATCAGTGACATTTAAAGTGAAGATGCCAACATTTGTCATACTTTACTTTTTCTTTTCTTCTCTTCTGGTATCAAGATGAAATGGGGTGCTCAAGAGTTTCAACATCTCTTTATGTGCTCAGAGTATTCAAATCCATAGTAATAAATAACAAAAAAGGCAATGAGAATAAGAATAATAAATGGTAGTGTAAATATTTTGTATTGAAAGTGCCAGCTCCTATGAAGACACTGAATCAACACATGGAATTGTCAACTGTATGCATGGCTAGTAAACAACAAAGGACTCTTCTTGTTTGAGATTATTATAGGCTGTGGAAATGTGCAAACTAAACACACACACTTCTGGATCTGGACACTGTCTCAACTGTACATCTATGTTGCCACGGGAATCAAACTTTTCCTGTGTAACCATTTTCATTGTTGATTTTATATTTTTTTATGTGACCATTTACTCTTTGTTCCCTCTCTGAGTGGTGACAGTTTCATTTGACACCTAAACAATAAAAGTGCGCTCAACACTTGACCAAGGCTTAAGTGAAAATGATGCTGTGTCTCTGTTCTATAACCAAATTGCTTCTTTCATATAATTCTACATTTTTTTAAACTATTACAATTCATAGAGTATTTCACACAGGCATTTCTCTCTAATAGGTTTTGACTACTCCTATAAATCAGAGGTTTTCAAACCAAACCCGTCTTTTAGCTGTGGGTTACATCCTGAGCCCTGTTTTATAGTATTTATTTCTCTATATTTTGGTAAATTGGCACCATTAACCATTAAAGGTATGCCAAATTTGCTGTTAGTAGTTCCTGTTTACAGTGTACACATGAATGTACAGTGGTGTGAAAAAGTGTTTGCCCCCTTACTGATTTCTTATCTTTTTGCATGTTTGTCACACTGTAATGTTTCAGATCGTCAAACAAATTTATATATTAGTCAAAGATAACACAAGTAAACACATCATGCAGTTTTTAAATGAAGGTTTTTATTATTAAGGGAAAACAAAATCCAAAACTACAAAGCCCTGTGTGAACAAGTGTTTGCCCCCCTGTCAAAACACTGGTTTATCGCACCTGAGTTCAATTTCTCTTGCCACACCTGTTCGCAATCAAGAAATCACTTAAATAGGACCTGCCTGACAAAGTGAAGTAGACCAAAAGATCCTCAAAAGCTAGACATCATGCCGAGATCCAAAGAAATTCAAAAACAAATGAGAAAGAGAATAATGGAGCTCTATCAGTCCGGAAAAGGTTATAAAGCCATTTCTAAAGCTTGGGGACTGCAGCAGCATGTCTTCCAGGGCCTGAAGCAGCAAAACAGCCCCAGACCATCCCACTACCACCACCATATTTTACTGTTGGTATGATGTTCTTTTTCTGAAATGCGGTGTTACTTTTACGCCACACATAATGGGACACACACCTTCCAAAAAGTTCAACTTTTGTCTCGTCTGTCCACAGAGTATTATCCCAAAAGTCTTGGGGATCATCAAGATGTTTTCTGGCAAAACTGAGACGAGCCTTTATGTTCTTTTTGCTCAGCAGTGGTTTTCGTCTTGGAACTCTGCCATGCAAACCATTTTTGCCCAGTCTCTTTCTTATGGTGGAGTCATGAACACTCAGCTTAACTGAGGCAAGTGAGGCCTGCAGTTCTTTGGATGTTGTTGTGGGGTCTTTTGTGACCTCTTGGATGAGTTGTCGCTGCGCTCTTGGGGTAATTTTGGTCGGCTGGCCACTCCTGGGAAGGTTCTCCACTGTTCCATGTTTTCGCCATTTGTGGATAATGGCTCTCACTGTGGTTCGCTGCAGTCCCCAAGCTTTAGAAATGGCTTTATAACCTTTTCCGGACTGATAGAGCTCCATTATTCTCTTTCTCATTTGTTTTTGAATTTCTTTGGATCTCGGCATGATGTCTAGCTTTTGAGGATCTTTTGGTCTACTTCACTTTGTCAGGCAGGTCCTATTTAAGTGATTTCTTGATTGCGAACAGGTGTGGCAAGAGAAATTGAACTCAGGTGCGATAAACCAGTGTTTTGACAGGGGGGCAAACACTTGTTCACACAGGGCTCTATAGTTTTGGATTTTGTTTTCCCTTAATAATAAAAACCTTCATTTAAAAACTGCATGATGTGTTTACTTGTGTTATCTTTGACTAATATATAAATTTGTTTGACGATCTGAAACATTACAGTGTGACAAACATGCAAAAAGATAAGAAATCAGTAAGGGGGCAAATACTTTTTCACACCACTGTATAGACAACTATCACTGGATTACTTTGATAGTAAAGAAAACTTAAACATGATATTTCTCAGGCACATTCTTAAAGGACAAGGCTGGGCATTTTCCATATTAATAGCATTTTCAGCAGACTTCATACAGAAACTAAAACCGACAATGAATTGCCTCTACTCACAGTTAATGTCTGTCAGCTGTCAGTCCTAGTTTAGCTTGTTCGTCTGTGCCATAGGACGTTGTTGTTCAAAAACGATTAAAAACACATCAGAGAAACACACTGCTGCACTGGGTGACGGGTTGTTATTTTCTTTTGTTACAAAACCCCAGACCCAGCTATGTTGCCCCAGAGTTTCTGAGCGACCATATTTTTCTGAAATTTGCATGAGACAGAGTCAACTGCACGTGTGCGAGATATTGCGCAAGCTCTCATCTTGTGTTTACAGTCTGCTAGCTCCTCACACTTGGGTCTGAAGTTTGCTAATGATGAAGCCTTTTTGAACAACAATGGCCGGCGTTTTATTTAAGGAGTGTAATTTTTCTGATTTATGGACATTTATTTGCACATCAGAAATATCAACAACAGTTTGAAAACCTATCTTAGAATGCAACGAACAATATTTACATGACTACTGCATCCACCTTCTGGTTGGCACTGTGCTACCTGCCTGGGTCTGGCCCGTATCTGAGTGAAAACTCACTGTGCTGCTTCACGCTGTGTAGTGGGACTCATTCTCAGGTAGAGCTGAGCCGCCCTGAAGACAGCTGGGAGATGTTGACAGGAAGAATCTCTCCACTTCGTGAGAGGCCTCCATCTCTGCAAAATCTCCTCTACTGTCATCAGAGCTGACTCCCTATTAGTTGTTTACTGTATTTTTACAAAGATGTGTGTTTCAGATCTCTGAATTGCTGCTCACATCTCAGATATGGCAACCCAAAAAGGTCTCAGAAAGCTCTGTGTGCAGCTAATGAAGGCTCCTTACTTAATTCGAGAAACTAAGAATCAGTGATTGCTTAGAGGGGTTACAAATCATCATTCCTCTCTAGCCAACTTCAGCAAACGTTGGCCACTGGCGTCTATTTGAAAACTTGAGGTTGCACGTTTGAATGCTACATGTGAATGACGGCCTATTAGCTTCAGGAGAACTGTCAGTCTATGGGCACAAAAAAAGGTTAAAATTGTAGAGATATGCAGAGTATTAAAAATAAATCAGATTCACAACAAAAATGTAAGAGAACCTAATAAATAAACGCTATAAACGTTCTAAATGCATTCTTCAGTTTTGGGTAACATAAATTTGGAGTATCCTATCTGTCAAATGGGAGCTAAAAATTGAATTTGAAGATTAAAGTTTTACGATTTGATTACCAAAAAGTGACAGATCCCTCTATGTTCTAGCTTTTTTTCTCCTTAGCTTGCCTCTGAACTCATTTTAGAGACTGTTTTGAATCACTGTTGCAGAGTAGAAGTGGCCTGTTGAGGGAAAACACCAGTTAATAGAGCTGGGGAAGTGTGTGTGCCAACATCTCCTCTGAGGCACTTGTCAACATCCACCTTCAGTCACCTGATGCAAGTAAGCCAATGGGAGAAGGGCCTGTGTGGCCTGTTTGTGCCGTCTTGTTTGCTGAGGTGTTTTATCCGCCCTGATGAGACAGGGCAGACAGCTGGACCTAGTGGTGAGGGGTCTCGGTGGGGTTCATTAAGAACCACAACCTCTGTGCGCAGGCTTCAGCTGCATAAATGTAAACATGACGGTATCCTTTTCAGGGTGACAATGGTTTAATGAGAATGGATTACAGAATGCTATACAGCAATCATCTTAATAGTTATTGTGCAGGTTTATGCCTTGGACTGGTGTTTTAAAATGTTACTATGCTCCTCAATTCCCCTTTTCCTCATGTCCTAGCAGTGTTGAAGCACGAATGACTTTCAAGAAGACTCATTGTGAGATGTTGAATTCTCAGTGGGAACAGTCTGGAAAATAAAAATAAAAGCAGCTGAAAACACCCCCTGAGTTTCACAGTGTAGGTGTATGAATTAAATAGGCGCTGACTCATTGTTACCTCTTCTCAGCTCCAGGGGCTGAGAGGCACAGGCACTGCAGCTGTGACACAGCACACCGTGTTTGTTCCAGCTGAGATCCTCTACATCAGTATGTCAAATGTCAAGATGAAAGGTGGAGGGAGCTACGCAAATCATGCCACCACTACAATCCTCACCCTCACTGCTCCGTGTCCCTGGGGTATCTGTGTGGGATACAGATAGAGGAACACCCTGCCAGTCCAGCAGGTTTAAAGATGGAGATTCAGAAGCACAAACCAAAGGGCCTTCATATTGCTTTGATCCTCACTGATCAGTGAAGCCTTCAAGAGCCCATGGCGTGTTCATTTCCAGCCCTTCAATTTTTAATTTTGGGTACCTCTAGATTAGCTTTGCACCTATCATAACTCCAGAGAGTCTGTAATTATTTCAGAGCGACAAAACCTGAGATCCTCCTCCTGAAAATGAGAGGATAGTTTGTGAACGCACACGACTGTTGCTGGTGTTGTGTCGAAATTTGTTTCCCCAACGAGATGTGTTTCCCCTAACTTGAATCCTAACATTATCCTAACCACAACTACTGAGGGGGGGGGGCACTACATGAAACCAAGTTTTGAACAGGGGAAACATCTCAACAGGGGAACATTTTCGGCACAAGATCGGTCAGGACGCCAGTACAACGCATAAACAAGAAACACTGACAAATAAGATTCATTTTCAACAATGAAAATACCTCAAATCCTACCTGACATGTTCAAGCCAGAATATGAAAGTGGACAGCAGGACAAACTGCAACAGCATTAATTTGAACTTCTCCTCCAACAATAGGTGAACAGGTAAATAGGTATATGAACCAATGAAAAGAGATTTGTAGCACTAAACAAATTTAACCCCACCTCACCCCCCGTCACAAGCTTTTTATATTGGAAACTGTGTTGAAGTGCAGGAGGGGGAAGACGAAACAAACAAGGCAAGCTAGACGGTCAGAAGGCCTAATAACCTGGTGTCATGGCAACCAGATGGCAACACATGAGTTGCCAATTTCACAGTCTAATTTGCAGCTGTAACAGGGGAGTCTGTATGTGGAGGGGGGTGATCTGTGCAAACAACAAGAACAAATTCCTTCCCTGAATACATGTCATAATCCATGTTGCCATTAGCAGCAACTGGTAATGGTTTCACAGCCACATTATATGCTTGGATTTCCATCTAGCAAGTGATAAAGGGCAAGTCAAGTGTTTTTAATTGTTGCC